CGTGATAGACAGCAATTATATCATCCAGTGTCAATTTGTCTATTCATTTTTTCCCTCTCCACATGTTTCCTCTTCTTGATTGAATAATCACTAACAATAATCACAAGCAGCTGGGGGAAGGAAGTACATCCATCGGCTTTAATGTCAGCAAGAATGAGAACTGATTCCTCCAGCATTCACCACGGCTCTGACTCTTCAAAGCCATTTACATTTTCCTTATACCAGTGCTAAGATCGAGATCATGCTATTTCCATTACCTACAACCAATAGGATGCCAGAGGAAAAGACCCAATTTAAAAAAAAACAACATTGTTGTTTCATCTGCTAGTCGATATTCTTCAAGTATTTTTCCATTTATGTTTAAATTCCCCTGATGTTGAGAATATTGATGGAAGTGAAGCCTGTAAGTCTGTGGCTGTGTAAAATAGACCAGACCTGAGGAAGATGGGTTTATGCAAACGGTGAGGACAGTAAAGGACAGGAAGGACATGGACCTCTTGAAGCAGGGCCAGAGGAGGCCACAAAGGTGCTGGGAGGGCTGGAGCCCCTCTGCTGTGAGGACAGGCTGAGAGAGTTGGGGTGTTCAGCCTGGAGAAGAGAAGGCTCCGGGGAGACCTTAAAGCCCCTTCCAGTCCCTCAAGGGGCTCCAGGAAAGCTGGGGAGGGACTCTGGATCAGGGAGGGGAGCCATAGGATGAGGGGAAAGGGGTTGACGCTGAAAGAGGGGAGATTGAGATGAGATCTGGGGAAGAACTTCTTTGGTGTGAGGGTGGTGAGAGCCTGGCCCAGGTTGCCCAGAGAAGCTGTGGCTGCCCCATCCCTGGAGGGGTTCAAGGCAGGTTGGAGGGGGCTTGGAGCAACCTGGTCTGGTGGGAGGTGTCCCTGCCCATGGCAGGGGGTTGGAACTGGATGGTCTTTAAGGTCCCTTCCAACCCAAACCATTCCATGATTCTATGATGACTGAGCTGTTAGGACAGCGTGAGTAGGCAAAACCCCAGGGACTGCAGAGCTTTTCAAAGCTTGTCTGCACAGAGGTTGCTACTTCTAGTAATAAATTATCATACTCTGTCCATCTATATTGTAGGCTACAAAGAATGTAACATTGAATGTCTAGTGATCAAAATACCAAATTCTCAATTTATATTGTCATATAATCCAATATATACTTGTATATATTTCTATATGTACTGATATTATATCATCATATAATTCTACAGTTGGATTCTCAAGTTATAGGCACCAATTTCAATCAGCTGAGCTTCCAAGTCTCCTTGTTTAGAGACACAAAACAGCAGAAAACAAAAAATGAGTCTGAAGGCACAAAAAGTGGTCCAAAGATTGCCTTTCCCGTAAAACTGTTAAAGTGGTTTATTCAGTAGAATTAAATCATCTTTCAAACACAGTGACACAGACCCAAAAAATACCCTGATTACTGGTTTAGTTATGGCTTACATCAATTGATAGGCTTTCTATTACAACCATAATACAGCTACAGAAACAATAAGCCAAAATTACAGGGGGGAGGGTTGAAAAAAGAAAAGCGAGTCAATGGACACGAGGGATTAACATCAGCGTGAAACCACCATGACTCTGCTTGGATTTCTCTGTCACCGCTTTAACAGAAATAACAAACATGAAACAAGCTTTATTTTTGTAATAACCCAAGCTCCCCCAGCGTGAAGACACACAGTTTTGCTCTAGTATTTCCAAACCAAGCATTTTTTTTTCCCCACTGCGTGAACACAGGGGACATACCCAACAGGCAGCAGCTGCTCCATACAACTTACACGGGCTGAATGCAGAGGTTTGATCAGGGACCTCATGGTTGACAATAAGGAGGGCCCCAAAACAAAGCAAAATTCACCATCTCCTGTCCCACATGGAGCAGGTACAGGTGGTTTTCCTCGTCTCTAAGAGGGCAGACTCCAGTGTCACACCTAGGTGTGTACCACTTGGCCCACACAAGGGTAACAAATAGGCATTATTTCAATTTTGCTTGCCCTCCTCTGCTAAAATGGGTAATAACCAGAGTCTTCCTAAGCCATATGGAGCACTGGAGATACCTCAGTGTCTTGATCCATTAGAAAGCTGCAAGTAGGACAGACATTTTGCGAACAAGCCAAGGCAGTATCTGATTTTGCTGGCTTTACCTTGTCACCATTTTACACACTAACACATTTTACAGTGGTTAGTACAGTTAAAAAAACGCACATCAACTTACCCAAAAGATCAAACACCAGGAACATTTATGGCTTCTAAAGGGAAAGTCAGACACGTCGGTAAAGTATTTACAGCTTTCAGGCCTTGAAGCGCTGAGGCAGCTTTGCCTTTCTTTAAGTTTCCCACTACGGGGAACTGATTCCCATCTCCCTGATGTTTCTGAGATGCTCGGGGCTTTGGGAAGCCTTGGAGGTGCCCACAGCCCCGGGGACTCAAGCTCTCTCAACTCTAACGCCAGGCTTTCATTGGGATTTCCCTTAAGTATGTTGAAAAAAAAAAATAAATTAAAAAAAAGCACTTGCAGCACAATTGCTTGTGGATTTTGAACACCATGCAGACAACACAGGGGTGCCCAGCAGCCTCACCCACATCAGACAGGATGATAATAAGGCCAAAAATGATAATATTCTGGGAGGGGTTTGGGGGGAGATGCAGGTTATCAGCTTGACTTCACAAGCATCGGACCTGTTTGGGTTTGTTTGTTTTTTCTTTTTTTCTATTGAAGCCAAACACAAAGATTGTGCTGGCTTCAAAGGGAACGGGCTGAATCCTGCCTCGGACACATCCATACCACTGATGAATCCCACGATGGCATTTTGAAGCAAGCAGGAAAACGCCTTCTTCTCTGGAGGCGTGTGATTCGCATCCGCAGGGATAGGTATGGAGGGCTCGCCTGTGATTTGGCAGGGTGACCTTACCCTGCCAGGGTGAAACGCTTTGCATAGATGAGATCGAAAAAATGAAAAGTGCCGAAATCTGGAAGGGGAAGTGACAGTCACAATGCTTCTGCTTCCAGAAGCATGGTTGTTCTTTATGGACACCATTAAAAACACAGTATTGCTACTGCACCGTTATCTACAATATATATTTTTTTTAAAAAAAAGTATCTGAAATCAAGTGAGTAAGAAATGAGAGACTGCTCCTCCTGCCCACGATGGGGGCCTGTTTCTGGAGCTTGCTCTGAAGTATCCCCAACTTTCCACAGACTTCCCTGGATTTTGGAAAAGGCCCTAAGCGTAAGGCTCCCTCTCTCCTTTGTTCCTAAGAGCTCAACTCACTCCAGAATTTCCATGGGAATTTGGCCCTTAGGGATTGCCAAACTTCTCCATCTCCTTCCTTATATATGTGTCAAAGCTCCAAAGTTCTCTCCACGCTCGGATGCAAGCGAGATGAGGGAAAGAACCATTTTCACTACCCAAGCTCGTGCTCTCTACAGCCAGAACTTTGCTGAGAAACCACCAGGCCTCAGAAGACTGGAAAGGTCAGATTTTTCTCCCACTCCACATCTTGGTCTTTCATCCGCCCTGGTTTCCCATGGACTCACACCAGAGGTTGCTCCTTCCTGCCACCTCAAGCCAAGCGTGGGGCAGTCCATCCACGCAGCCACCTCACCACCCCTGGGTTTTGCCTTCAAGGTCTGAGCAACGTTTCTCCTGATTCACTGAAATCCCTCCCAGAATGGACTATTCTTAGAGCTGATTTCCTTCCATCTAACATCTCAAAGGAAGATCACCTTTAATTTATCCTCAGTTGGGTCTGCGCAGGGGCAGATTTTGTCAAGGACCTGGCCATTGTGAGCAGAGAACCTTCACCTGTCACCGCTGCCACGTCACTCCACAGCCCTGAAGGCTCTGGACCAGAGTCGTGGTTGCAATGTCCTACAATCCCTTTACATCTCTTTTCCAGGCAACCAGGGACCTACTGGTTGTGGTGGCTCTGCTCCCCAAGACCGCAGCAGGAGGAGCTGCCAGGGGACGGATCTCCCTGTGCAATTCCTCAGCCAGCTTTGACAACTCCCTTGCAATCACAGACAATATGCTAAAATATTATAATGGCCCTATCACCATTTAATCCATTCTGTCCCACAGCGAAGTTGGGCTTCATAAATCAAAGGCAAGCAGCTGAGCTATCTCAGCCTAAATACTTCCTTCCTTTTGATGAAAGCACTGGCAGATTCATCAGCCTCCTCCGTTGACATGACAAGAAAGGGGAAGCAGTCCTAGCCTACGTTCTCCCAACTGAATTTGCCTTGCCAGCATATGCAGACCCCAGGAACTTCTTAAGAGATTCTCCTACACAACATGAGGAGTTGGGGATTAAACCATAATATTCTCATTTTCTCTCTCCCTGTCTCAGATTTCATATCCTCAGCAATGGAGCTGGGATTGCAGCCTGAGCTCAGGATGTGATACCAGAGAGCTGACAGCTCAGAAGATCAGATTTTTCTACAGGGGGAATTCTCTGGGGCCTGTACCCTTTTTTTGTGGCAAAAAATGACATGCCCCGCATGGCCTTTACTTGCCATGACGGTGTGCAGCAAACACACACAGTTTCCTGATGGTCACTTCTTGTCACTCAGGTATCACACTGTTCAAAGAAGGTTAAGATCAGCAGAGGAAGGACATGGACCTGTTGGAATGGATCCAGAGGAGGCCACAAATATGCTCAGAGGGCTGGAGCCCCTCTGCTATGAGGACAGGCTGAGAGAGTTGGGGGGTTCAGCCTGGAGAAGAGAAGGCTCCAGGGAGACCTTAGAGCCCCTTCCAGTCCCTCAAGGGGCTCCAGGAAAGCTGGGGAGGGACTCTTGATCAGGGAGAGGAGCCATAGGACGAGGTGGGATGGTTTTAGGCTGAAAGAGGGGAGATTGAGATGAGATCTCAGGAAGAAATTCTTTGATATGAGGGTGGTGAGAGCCGGGCCCAGGTTGGCCAGAGCAGCTGTGGCTGCCCCATCCCTGGAGGGGTTCAAGGCCAGGTTGGAGGGGGCTTGGAGTAACCTGGTCTGGTGGGAGGTGTCCCTGCCCAGGGCAGGTGGACTGGAATGAGATACCCTTTAAGGTCCCTTCCAACCCAAACCATTCTATGATTCGGAACTTTAACCGCATTGGAGAAGGGAAAACAAGATAGCCTCAAACTCAGAACAAATTCTTGTCGTTAAAAGAGCATTTTCTTATGCTGAATACACCAAAAAAAAAAATATGGCAGAAAACAAGGAGGGTCCTTCTTTCTGCAACAGCCCTTATTTTTGTCCCTTTAAGCAGGACAGGCAGAAGCTCAGGCCAGTCAATGCTGGCTCACCCACCCCACATTGACATAACACAGGTAGTGACCTCTGGGTAGCTGAATTCTCCTGGGCAGTATTTATTTGCTGCCCGTGGAGAACAGAGCAGCAGGTAGGATCCATCCTCAGACCCTACCACCACGCCATTTCCACTAGGCCCCAGAGGTCCTGTGGTTCAACAGCAGAAATCTGATTTTCCAGAGCCCAATGCAAGGTAAGGGGGCCAAAAAACATCTGAAGCTTCTGCATATGGCATTTCTGACAAACACCACAGCTTTTCAATAATTTTTTGAGCAACGCCTGAAAAGCGAATCATAAAGTAAACACGTTGCAACATGCAATTCATCTCAAGGACTACTTTATATATATTTCTTTAATTATCTTTCTGGCTTGCAAATCATTCCTTATATCTAACTATACACCTATGTACACCTTCACAGACATTCCCGGGCCTGTTTCTGCAGTCCCTCCACAAATAAAATACCCACCCACTTGAATGGGAGCTCTTTTCAGATAAATGTGGCAAGATTGGGCCTTTGGTGCACAACGTGCAAGTATCCTGCCCACAAATTTTATAATCATTAAAAAAATAGAGTAGCTATAGGTTTACAACCCATCAAAATCTGAACACAGTAAAACTGCACTTATTAGAGCACAGCCAAGGTGAATCTACATTGGTCATTTATACGAAGCAAACAAAGGAAAGGAAATGCCTGTGACCCTGTAATTCTAATTACTCTAAAACTCTAATTACAGTTTTGCTTATCCTTTTGTCTGTTCAAAAAAAAAAAAAAAAGCCCAAAAGGATTTCTGCAACTAAAAAGAGGGATTTGCACTGTTTCTTTCCAGAGCAGGGATGATTCCCAAGTGCTTCCCCATCTTTTCTGAAGCGTGTTTCTCAACACGGCAGACTCCTTTCGCTGACTTTTGTTCGCCTCCATCACCGCTGTAGAAGAAAATCCCCTTACTGAAGAAGGTAACCTTAGCAAAGCAGCAGCAGGAAAAGCGACACTGAAGTCACCCCTAGTCCCACACTCGGGCAGAACAAGGAGTGAGGGCTCTAGGAACCGGCTCCAGACCCCGTTCCTGTTATGGTAAAGCTTAATGCACAGCACGACGGCCAACCCGCAGGGTCACATACATACACCCTCTAAATAGCACTTCCCTTACAGCACTTCGTTATCAAAGCCCTTTGCACACAAATTTACAGAACACAGCACGGACGAAGACCTCTTTTGCATATTAAGTCAAGGAAACTATGTCATCTACAGGTCCATTCTCAGCGCGCCGCCCGTCTCGCAGCCGGCCCGTACGAGGTGGTGCTCAGCACTACACGGTGTAACTACTAAGACACCCAAAGCACAACAACGCAAATATATCTAAAGCTTAAGCACAGGTCCTTCACCTATCCTTGGCTGGTATGTCCCAAGTGAGCTCTGACACCTTCATCAAGGCGCAAAGTTGAGGATATGCACTCTCACCTACCATCCAGGTCACTGCCGGTCAGTAGGGACTTTTGAAATGGTGACCGTTGTGCTTTATTTCCTTTTTTGATCATTTTATCCGTAGCGTGAGCAACTTTCACAGCTCTCAGCGCAGCACAGAGGCTTTTAAAAGAAGCTTTGTGCACTCATGCATTACAAAATCAAAATCCAAGTCTGGGTTTGGATTTAAACCCTCTCCTAAAAGAAAAAAAAAAAAAAACAAAAACCAAAAACTACACCTTATATAGAACTAACACTTTAAACTCTAAATCCTTGATCAAAGATCTTGTTATCTAATTAAGACAAGACATGGCACCGGACAACAGCCCAAGTGCTTCAGACTAAGAACCTAGACGAGGAAACTCTGTTTGTTTAATTATGCCAGCAGAGCTGAGACAGCAAACCTCACCCTCCTGTGTCCACAGTCATGCCAATATGAGAGTGCACGTACCAGTAGGGCAGGCATATACCTACTACACAGTTCAGTGGCCAAAATAAACTCCACCAAATACATATGGCATCTTTTCTGCGGCAGGATTTTGCCAGTTTAACTGTATCAGGTGAAAAATTGAGCTTGGCATAACTGCCAGAGTTACACTGCTAACTTTTTAAAGAACACACCAGCCCTTTTACTATCCCAGTAACATTCTCAACATACAAAAATGCCACATTAAGACACCCCACATCTCAAGATGCCTAATTTTAAAATAAGCATCATAATCCTAGCCACAAAGTATCTTCACTGTATTTTAACTTCATTTCCTGCCAGGACTTAGCACAGATACCTGGCAGTATTTAATTTGACCTACGCAACTGTGAATCAACATTCAGATACTCTCAACAAAGTCTAAAATAAAAATCAAAGAGGAAATGCCTTTTTCTATCTTATGCTGTGATATTTCAACCAAAAAAAAATCAACTCAGAAAATATAACTACATCATCTCCTTGCTACTCAGCCCAAGAAAAGCTTGCAGAAGGGTGAAAGGAGAATGTTTCTTTGACAACGACTCCAATCTGAAGCTGAGATGGTCACTGTCAGAGGAAGGGGACACGTTAAGTAGAAGGAAAACACTACAGGCAATGAGGAAGAAAACATGATCAGCAGAGGAGACCAGAAATCTAAGACACAAGGATGAAAAGGAAAGAAACTCTAAAACAATGGCACACCACGATCAACACAGTTACATGTGGTTGTGAATGGGAGTTTAAGATTCTCTTCTATCGTGGCCAAACAATTTCATAAAGTGACCTTGTTCATTCCTATTGCATCTATCATCTGCTATTTTTCACCAATACTTTGTGGTTACAGAACAAAGACCTCAAGTTACATACTCCCCCTTAAAACTAGAATGCTAAAGAGTATTTTCAAAAGCCCAAATGCCAGAGGACAGTGCTTTCAGTAGAATCTGGCAATGCCCCAAGGTACTCGACTCAGAAACCTATGTAAAGCCCTACAGTCTATGCTAAAATTCTCCACCACTGATTCTCCTCAAAAGTTTAGTGCTCTTCTTCATAGTGAAATGATAACTATATTAACGTGCTCTGTTTATCCCTAAACCTACTGGAAATGTGCTTCTTATCTGACCTGCTTCCCAGGGTAGTGTGTTTACCCTGGGACGGAGGAGTTTTGCTTCTCCCACCCTGTTATGGACCCAACTCCACTCGCAGGAAAGATGCTGGTGTCCTAGGTCTGATGGGATGCAATGCCTTGAGGAAATTTATATCAAACAATTATTGCATAATCTCAGGGTGTAATAAAACCTCCCACATGTCACACACAGGCGTCGAGTTCCCGTTACACTTTTGCACCAGTGGGAGAAGCATCCCCGTCAACAGCAGCTGCAGGTCCCCGTATGAACCCGCAGGATGCCTTTGCTGTGCATGTGGAGGAAGTTGAAGATTTCTGAGGGCATGGCATGAAAACCGGGGCGGGGTTTCACATTGTCATAGTAGTGGTGAGTTATAAAAATCCCTGAGGGGTTCATGGGGAAGGCCCAGAAGCCAAAGAGGTGGACCTCTTCGCAGAGCTCCAGGGCGGCAGTCACCAGGATCAGCCCAGTGCTGATCCTCTTGGCCCGCACCCCTTGGCCGAGCCAGTAGCGCGAGACGTTGATGAGATACTGGGGATGAAAGTAATAAACAGCCTGCTGAGATTCGAAATCGTCCAGGACGTATTTGACCCGGATGGAGACGTCCGTGTTGCGGGTGTTGTAGAAAGCCGGCAGCAGCACGGAGGCGTTCTCGTAGACCTGCAGCACGTCGTAGAAGGGCTTCCTCCATTTCTCCAGCTTATGGAATCTAAAGGGAAAAGGAGGAGAGTGATGGTCAGACCACGGCAGACTCCAGTTGGGACCCACCAGACAAAAAAAAAAACTCCAAAGGGCTTTTGCTGAAATATTTCTGATACAGACGTAATGGAAAGGGGAATACATTTATATCTGTAGCTAAAGTGTCAGCATACAATGTAGGGGGAAAATGCAGAGGATAAAAAAATACATCTTCTCCCCTTTTATGGCAATACATTCATTAAACACTGAACAAACTTAGTAGACATTTCTGATCATGTCTCACTTCTCATTTTATTGTGAGAAGTATGCAATTTTTCCAAGGTGTGGTCAGATGTATAGTGCGCCATGCAGTGCAGAACCATATCGAAAGTGGTAAATGACAAACTAGAGCAAAAACACTTCTAAAACGACTAAAAAGAAATCCACAATGCAAGCAAATGGTTTTATACTATTCAGTAAAAGGAACACATTCCCCCAGGGAAGAAAGGAAAGCAGGAATTAGCCCCACAGTCCCAAACCTGTCAGCAAGGTGGTATTAAAGCATTGACAAATTTAAAATTAAAATCACTCAGTCAATCCTGGCTACAAAGTTTAAATGGCATTTTTTAAGAAACATATGACAATGTGTGGTACTTTATTTAAGCATTTAGGGTGGGAACCAATTGTTTCCACCCCAATGTGTCCAATAGATTGGCCTGGAGCTTTCCAGCGTGGTACAGGGCTTCCAGGGGAAGGATGGCTCTGCTGTTAATGATTTAGCTCATCAGCTTCCCACTTGCTGTTACCAACATGCAAGCCTAAGCATTTAACACATTTCTATAAGTTGTTGCAGGCTCCACATACTGAATAACTTCAAATCAGAATGAAATGTGTGATTCACAGTGTCAGCTTAAAGTAATATTGGGGGGAAAATGGCCTCTCTAACAGTTAAAATGTAGTGAAAAGTAGACTTGGAAAAGCAATAGGAGACAAAAATACAAAAAACAGAAATGACCTCTCAGTAATTATACTGGGATTGACAGTCACGACATCCGTCTTTACCCCAACGTCCGTCAAGTATTTCTCAGATATAGGAGGCAAATTACATCTATAAAGGAAAGAAATGAGTAAGAGAGTTAAACAATTCCTTGCACTTTTTCAGGACTAGAAAGTAGAACTGATTCCAGCATTTCTTCCAAGCAACAAATCTAGAAACATTGAGAATTTAAGATTGTATGAAACACGTTGCAGCCCAAACTATGCATAAAAGTAGCAGGTAATTAGGGGCTGAATGAAAACCTTGTTTCTTCCCTCAGCCTGTCAGAGCTGACCCCTTTTTGCAGATGTAGCCAGTGTTCACTCATTTAAGAGCAGTAGAGCTGTGTACTTCAGCAGTTTAAGACCAGAAATAGCACGAAGCCCCAAGGACAATCAGTCTATAAAATCGAAGACTTCCTCAGCAACAGCTGAACTGTATTCAATAATTAATAGATAAACTATATCTATAACATGCTTTGTTTTATGCCCATGAGAATTTAGGGGAAATGCACCACAGGAGACAAATCACTCCAGTGCTAATTAACTCAAAACTATCTGCTTCCCTTCCTTTTCCCTTTATAAGCATCTCCCAGTGCCACCTAAGAGCAGCAATTCTGACTCTACTGATTCACCAGAGGATGTCAAAGCCATTAGGAGCAAACTTGTGAAGATTTGCAAACCTCCACTTTGCCCAGCCTCCGCTCACCTTGGCCTTGACCTAGATCCATCATCTCCAAAAATTTAGAGCATCCCTCAAGAGATGCTGAAGGTACAGGAACACGCACTCATACACACAAGCCATCACACAAGCTTTGCTTCCACAGAAAACCCAGCTTAAAAAAAAGCTTCAGTGTGCATTATCAGAGGCAACATAAATGGCCTTGCAACTAACTTACACACAGTTTAAGCTTGAGTGAGATATTTGCTGAGACTTTGATAACTTTTCGAAGTGAACCACAAGCCACAATAAAAGCCATCACTGGTAAGATCCCCACATCTCAAAAACAGTGCTGTGCCCTATTCCCAAATTTCTCCATGTTTTTGGATATGGACTGAACAGGAGAAAAATGTGGAGGTATTTAGGGTAAGTGTTGATCAGTGTTTTCACAATACCAGAGTTCGGCTGCAACCATAATTTCCCAGACTTGGGGAGCAGAAGAATGCACAAAAATTCTTCAAAGTCCTTCTCAGACTCAGGAGGTTCACATCTATCTCCCTGAGAGTCTCTCTTTATCAGGTCAGAGAGGTTTTTTTAGACATCCTTCTCATAGGCAGTGTTATTTCCAGCATATTTCTCTGCTGGGTCAGGCAATGCCCTTCTGAAGTCCTCCAGCTTCCTCAGTTCCACCAAGCACCAGGCACTGTGCTCATTAGATCTTATTTGAAAAAGTTGTTCGAATATTTAGCTTCAATAGTTTCAAACAGTAAACTCCCACCAGGATAAATAAAGAATGAATTTCTTGGAATTGATAGTATAAAATATCTGCATAAACTGTAGTTTTGTCGTAGGATTCAAAAAATTCCTCCCTGCAAAGAGTGTAGTCCCATCTCTGAACACATCTCATCACAGGTCTCCACTCTGGCCAGTAGATGGTGATAAACACTAACAACCAGTAAATGAAGTTCCTGCGTGTGTATTTTATAGCTCATATTGTAATATAATTAATTGCTTTCAGAATTTATTTAATAGAAAACTCTTGGTTGTATCCAGCTGGCCTGCTGACAGTAAAGGATTTTGCCAGGTGCCCTGCGGGTATCAGTGAGTGTTAGCAGTGCTCCACAGGCAGTTTCTGAAATAATTTTTAAAAATTACTTTGTTGGTGACCAGGATGGTGATTCCTGACAGTTTGGTGAACTGGTGTTAGACTGGAAAGGGCGCGTGTTCACACCTGACCTTAAACACAAGCTTTACTTTAAAACTGATGATTAACTTACTTTAAAATTGGTGTCAGTAAACACTAAGCTCTTGAACACTAACATGTCTTTGTGCATAATGCTGGTCCCACATGTTTTGGAGATGGTGAACCAGGGGTTTCTGTTGCACGAGTACTGATGTATTTATCTGCATTTCCATTCTACTTAAGCATCTGTTTAACTAATTGCTTGTACCAAGCGCAACCCAGTTTCTAAGTTCTGTTGGGATCTCATCTGCTCTTTGTAATCAGTTTTGGTACAGTCCAAGGAAGAGTAACACTGACTGGTAAAAAGGGTTCTCTGAAAGTTCTCATACAGAAATGGTGACTCTCACTGCCCATATTTCCACTTCCACTCAGCCTGTCATCTCCATGTACTGCTCTCTTCAGCCGTACTGACAGCTGTGATCTAACACAACTGAGGGAATCTACAATAATTATTTAGTGTATATGGGGTACACTATGCTTTTAAAAAGCAAATTACATGAAGCCTCAATGATTTCAAAGATTAAAAGAAAGACAATAGTTTTCTATAAAGTGGGCACAAGAGGCAGACGCAAGGGTCTGAAAACAACGAATAGTGAAGGCAGGACATGTAAAATTCTATTTCTCATTTGATGCCAGATCAAATTAATGAGCCAAAACCTGACCTAATTTTTGTGGGTATGAATTCGGAGAAGTTCATTGATTTATGCATAGTTATTTTAAACAGTCAGTAACGTACTCAGGATCATTAAATAGGCCAACAGAAGTAAAAAAGATTTATCTTTTCTACAGAACAGGTCATGAATCTGTGAGCATATGCCATGACCCAGGCAAAGAGCTTAACAGGATTTAGAGAGGGATTAGTCATGCATATGAATAATAAAAAAAGTCTTTCCCATATGTATTAAGGATGAAAAAAGTGCTGCTAAACTCCATTATCCAGGGACACCAGCCGTGAGACATCCCAGTCTACACATAGCCTGGGTAACTCCATGTAAGGAAAAAGTCCTTCAGAAGCACACCTCTGAGGCACATGAGCTGCACAGTGTGTAGCTATTAACATAGCTCCTCATACTCATAGAATAGTTTGGGTTGGAAGGTACCTTAAAGATCATCCAGTTGTTTATGGGCTAAATGTCCATGGAAGGATAAATCCACAACCTGAGTAAGAGGGGATGTCCTGAATGAGGACATCAATTTGTCAGTCAGTCAGTGATTAACCACACGGAGTCAGGGAACAATAATTCCTCAAAGCATACTTTTAAAATAAGTATTATACAGTGAGGTAGGTTTTTTTAAAACATTGCTTTTTGTCTAAGAAACAGGTTTGATAAGCCCAGTTAGGCAAATCCTATGTTTCCATGTGGAACAGAATAGTGTTGTAATACCTTATCTGTCATTGAAACAGGCAAAAAGAAGAAAAATGCTGCTGTGGTAATTACCGAAACACGAAGTCTGCACTGTCAATCTCCCGGCCACATTTGCTGTTCTTCAGAATTCCTCCATTCCCAACCACCGCACATTTCTTAAACTGGGAGCGGTGGTACGGCATGTCCTGCAACATCACAGCAAGGAAACAGTTAAATATCCTGAAACATGGAGGCAACGACTCTTTTTTTTTTTAATTTTTCCTTTTTTTTTTTTTTTGGTGCAGCTGCATCTTGTTGCAGATGCACCAGCCATAGGAATTTGACGCTGGCTCTGGCCCACAGAAACGGATGGGTTTGTTTTCTGTGTAATTACAGATAATGCGGGCAAATAAGAAAGAAAGAAAAAAAAATAACCTTTTTCTTGACTTAATAACCACAGAAGTCATTTAAGAAATTTGCTTTCGCTTCTGATGTCCACATGAGGGCATGAATCACAAAATTTGCGTACCCCAGGTGTTGCCTTCTGAGCTGCCTGCAAACTGCTCCCTCCTCAGGCCCCGGTGTCCTGCTTTTGAGAAGTCTGCACACACACAACCACAGAAATGTCCCGGTTGGAAGGGACATGCCAGATCATCGAGCCCAGCCATCAACCTGACACTGACAAAACCACCACCAACCCATGTCCCTCAGCACCACGTCTGCCTGGCTTTTAAATACCTCCAGGGATGGTGACTCCACCACTTCCATGGGCAGCCTCTTCCAAGGCTTGACAACCCTTTCCATGAAGAAATTTTCCTAATATCCATCCTAAACCTCCCCTGGTGCAACTTGAGGCCATTTCCTCTTGTCCCATCGCCTGTTCCTTGAGAGAAGAGACCGACCCCCCCTGGCTACCCCCTCCTTTCAGGGAGTTGGAGAGAGCGAGAAGGTCTCCCCTCAGCCTCCTTTTCTCCAGGCTGAACACTCCCAGCTCTCTCAGATGCTCCTCACAAGACTTGTGCTCCAGACCCCTCACCAGCTCCCTTGCCCTTCTCTGGACCCGCTCCAGCCCCTACATGTCTTTCCTGTCATGAGGGGCCCAAAACTGGCCCAAAACAGCACTCGAGGTGGGGCCTCCCCAGTGCCCAATACAGAGGGATGACCATTGTCCCAGTCCTGCTGGCCACACTGTTCCTGATACAGGCCAGGATGCTGGTGGCCTTCTTGGCCACCTGGGCATGCTGTTCCAGAGCAGCTTTGTAAAGCCCAAGAAGTCTCTCTGAAACTCAGACAGCTCGTTACAGCCATTCACCAGAACCTGGCCCAAATTTTATTGCTGGCTGCCACTAATTGTACTAATAGCACAAACACTTATTAGTTAGCACCTGTAATTCCTAGAGCCTTTGGTCAGGCTCTTTCCTGGACATGTTTAGGACGCACCTTTCTGTAATCTTCAAGCAAAATGTACATCTTCAAACACAGACAGGCAGCTGCTGCTGAAGCCAGAGAGAGTGAAAAGTCACGTCTCCGAGAACAGAACGGGGCCGTGAAGGGTGAGAGGGAGGTGACGCAGAACCGGGCCGCGCTGCACCTCATGAATATGGAGAGATGGGCTTACATAAGCATGAGAGCCCTCCTTTCGGCACATACATATTTTATCAATAACTTCGTGTCGCAAACCACAGAGAGATGCCACAGCAGCATGACATTTCCAGGTGATTATTCCCAGGATCTTTCTGCAGCTTTCATAAGCCACGAGGCAAAAAAGGGCACGCGATTACAGCCGTCTGAGAAAAGCAGCAGCTGCCTAAAGAGAGAGGCATTATAGAGTTGTCTGTGCTTTATCCAGCAATTTCTTAACACAAAATGCCTTGATGTTTTCCTCTCAGGAAGATGAGAAGCCAGGTCTCAGTAGTCAGCACACGTCTATTGCTCTTACAGTCTTGCTCCCATGCTTTTAACCCATTTATAGAATCATAGAATCATTCAGGTTGGAAGAGACCCTTGGGATCATCGAGTCCAACCATCTACCCTACTCTACAAAGTCCTCCCCTACACCATGTCCCTTAGCACTGCATCTAAACGTCCCTTAAACACATCCAGGGATGGTGACTCAACCACTTCCCTGGGCAGCCTATTCCAATGCCCGACCACTCTTTCTGTGAAAAATTCCTTCATAATGTTCAGTCTGTTTATCTACCTACATTTGCCATGCTGCAGCCCAGCTCCTAGGGAGAGGGTGGGTTTGGCCACGTAGCTGCTGCCCATTGAATCCCAAAGGATTCGCTTTGGTTTGGGGTAGAGCCTGCAAAGCACCCTCAGGGCATACCTGGATAAATACAGCAGCAGCTACAGGACACTCCTAGCAAAAGTGCAGTCTTTCATAGAATCATAGAATGGTTTGGGTGGGAAGGGACCTTAAAGACCATCCAGTTCCAACCCCCCTGCCCTGGGCAGGGACACCTCCCACCAGACCACGTTGCTCCAAGCCCCCTCCAACCTGGCCTTGACCCCCTCCAGGGACGGGGCAGCCACAGCTTCTCTGGGCAACCTGGGCCAGGCTCTCACCACCCTCACAGCAAAAAAGTTCTTCCCCAGATCTCATCTCAATCTCCCCTCTTCCAGTTTCATGCACTCATCTGCACAATCAGAGAGGGTTTTAATTATAATAATCTTGCATTTAGATGTGCCTGCTCTTTGCACATCTCCAGATGCCAAATTGCTTTCCTAGATCTGAGTCTTCCCCCTGCTCTGTCCCAGTTCCCCACATACACATTTAGACAATGGCACTACCCCACCTCTTAGTGATGCTCCAAAAAGAAAGGGATTAAAAGCAGCTAGACCCTGAAGGACAACTTCTAATGACACATATCTAAGTACTTGAATATTTTTCTGACCTCCTCTAAGGGATAAATTGCAGTTTTCCCCTCCAAATATGCCATTTTAAGTTCATGAGGTGTGCCCCATGATGGATCTGTAGTCATATATGCCCATTTCTGCATATCAGTCACTCTGGGCAATGGGAATTGCCGACTAGTTATACCGGTTAAAAACCCTCAGGTCAAGAATTATTTGCTGAAAAGGTATTGAATAATCATTATGATTAATATATTTAAAAATTGTGCAGCCCATTCACAGATAATCTGCAAACAGAAATAAGTATAAAAATAATCAGCGGTTGTGAATATGAATTATAAAACAATCATGCACTGAGAAAAGCACACCTACCCCAGATGTCAGATTTATTGTATGTGAATATTGTACTTCTGAAATTTCTGATCAGTAAGTGCCTTTTTGATTCAGCTTTCTTAAGTTATTTAAATAGCCACTTTGCTGCTAGGTTAGTAACATTCTTTAGGAAAATATATATATATTGCATACTAGAGAAGATGACCACCAGAAAGTAGGATATTCAGCTAAAATATCACACCAAAAATAGACATTTTCAAAGTGTAAGTAATAAAGTTTGTGGAAATTTCAAACAGCCAGCTGCTAAATGCTTGGCTCTAGGATAGCATCTAAGGCATCAAATAGAGTGAAGTTGGTTTTGTGAATGGACAGAGGCATGAGGCACCTTTGGAAACATCTTGAAGATTTCTTGGTTGATATGGAAGATTCCACTGGTATCCACTTCATATTTCAGTTTAGTTCCCAAGGGAGTATTTTTCTGGGTGGTGAACAGAAAGGCAGGGGCATTGCAACACCTCGACAAAGTAGACCTGTAAAACGAAAAAGAGAGAAAGAAGACTGAGGAGCTGAGAGAATGCCTTAGGATTTGAATTACTACTACTCATAACAAGGTAAAAAGAAACTTTTCATCTGTAGGAGGGGTAAAATGGTGGTTTGCTGGATTCTCTTATAGAAAATTTCAGATTCAGTGAAATTTTCCTTGATTGAGGAACTTATGGCAAAACCAAAACAAAACACTGAAAAAAATCAGATCCCTGTGCCTGTCTCTTCTGGGCTGCGGGAAATACATGTGCAGTTTCTGCCTTGCTCCAGACCCCAAAGCTGAGCTTCTGCCCCCATTATTCTGGGGAAACCATCACAAGGAATTAGTCCCTCTCTGCTTTAAAGGTCTTCCACTTTTTGTAAATTATTTCCTCACCATGGGGCAGGAAAGGCAGGGGTTAAATATTCCATCTGGGAATGTGGAAGCTTGATAAGGCAGGGATTTAAACACAGCTATCCTGGTCAGATAAACAGATAAAATTTTCCTTGTCACTGGGACAAAATGGCAGGTGTAAAGAAGAACTGCTTTGAAATCTCAAAAATGGGTTTGTTGGCATGAGAGAAAACTCATTATATGAAATATAATATATTTTTTTTATGGACAAGAGGAAACGGGCACAAACTAGAATGTAGGAAATTCCACCTAAACATAAGGAGGAACTTCTTTCCTGTCAGGGTGCCAGAGCCCTGGCAGAGGCTGCCCAGAGAGGTGGTGGAGTCTCCTTCTCTGGAGACATTCAAAACCCACCTGGACATGTTGCTGTGCAACCTGCTCTGGGTGGCCCTGCTTTGGCAGAGGGTTGGACTAGATGATCTCCAGGGGTCTCTTCCAACCCCATGTGATTCTGTGATTCTGTGAAAAGCAACTTTTCAAAAAGGGCTTCATTTTTAGCTCCCATCCTTCCCTGAAAGCTTTTCTCCTTTTACTGGTGGAACTGAAAAACCTGACTTCAGCTCACTCTTCCTACAGAAGACAGTTTGTTTCTCAGACAACACATCATATACCTTTAATGAAAAATACGTGCCATGGCAAATGCACAAACATGAAAACAAAGCCAAATGGCTCTCAAATAACCTAGATTAAATACCTTGCCTCTTGGGTATGTGGCCTCATTATGAGTCAGAAGAATAAGCCAATCTTGTTTAAGGGCTTTATAACAACCACCAGAAAGCAAACAAGGAATTATGCAAAGATTTCAGTGGTGTCCAGTTACTACTATATACTTGACTTACGCAGAATGACACAATATGATGATTGGATCGAGGGAGCAATTGAGACTGAATAAGTCGATGAATAATTCCTAATAACTAAATCATTAAATAATTACAGGCAGGTAGTGGGATTGAATTGTGATATTTGAGATATGAAAAAAACCTCTTCATTAGTTCTGCATTAAGGCATTAAAAGAGATATTTTTTTAATCTGATGACCAACTAGTGTTCCAGAGGCATGGTCCTTACTGTAAATATCCGATACATAATGGAGGAAGACTGCCAAGGAAATTGTTTTCCCTAGTCTACAGAGCCAAAAGCTACTGTGATTTTTGTGCTTCCTCCCCCTCTCCCTGCTGCTAAGTAGCTGCCTTTTAACTTTTGCTGGATTCCCCCCAGATCACCCTCAGATGGCCAAGAAATGACAAAGTTTGAAAGCCCAAAACTCGGTGTTGTCAGACCCCCTCCTTTTAGCCTCAGGGGATAACTCCAAAATCAGAAACTTCGGTCTGTTTTTAAGGGACTACATTGCCCCACACATTCACACACCAAAGTCTCTGTCCCACAAGATGAAAATAAAACAGACTTTGAAATTCTTATTTTTTTTTTCCATTACTAGGATGATTATTGTTCCTGGAACCAGCTAACTAAGGTTTGGTTACATCTAGGTTCCAAGGGGAGTTTCTTAAACAGTGATATATAAGTCAGGCAGGTATAGCCAGCCACATGAGATTTTTATCTCTTTTTTTCTCTCAATGCACTGTCAAGGATGGAGAGGGATTCTTTGCTTCATGGGGTGGTGTTGGTGGCCTGAGACAGAGTGATGGTCCTCCTGATGGTTTTTAGAGAGTCCTTTCTCATTGCTCCCACATCTAGGCTGGCCTCCATACTCCAGTGTGCTCCATGCACTCTGGGCACAATCACTAGTTCTCTTACTCCAAGCAGTCTTGAAGACAGTAGGCTCTAATCCTGAATGGCTCTTGTCTTCAAAATCGGCTCTGATAATTGTTCATCAAGTAATTTTCAAGAAAAAATATACTAAAAAAAAAAACCTAAAAACCCTTGTGTGTGGAGTTCGTGTTGGAAAAACTGATTTGAGCCTGGGACTAACAATTAGTTATTTTTAAAGATGTAAATGACTAACTCAGCACATGCATTCTCACATTCTCTCATTAACTCATGACAGCTTGTTCCTGGAATCAAGCAAGAGAATCTGGGAGGAAGTTGTGTGGTCTTTTTGTAAAACAACAGCTCAGAATCATGCCAGTGACTTCCAGCCATAATCAGTGTCTATTCCACTTACTTTTGACATCATAATGTCTCTTCTCTAGACCTACTCAAATACAACCCTTGAATATACCAATACACAATATTCAAATACTGTTTTGGCTTCATTCTACTGTTGCCTTCACAAGATCAATTTCAAAAGTTGTATCTTGAGAGGACCATGGAGGACCTTCAACAAAGAGGACAGCACATGACGAAAGACCAAGTACTACAGAAACAAACTGCAGAGGTCACTGGAGAGAAGAAAGAAAATCTAGATAGTTAGGGATTGATAGCTGAGAAGCCATTTAAAAAAAAAAAGGAAGTGATAAACAAGGTCTGACAGTTCTTAACACACCACAAAAAAATCCAGTTTGAATATTTCGTAGGACAAATTTGCAGTGTCACCAACAATATGACAGTTTTACACCACCAGAGAGTTAGGATGAGGTAGTAGGTACAGCCATTAAGTCTTGGCTCCATTCTTATCTCTGCCATCTTACCCGGAAAAGTCTTTCCCATACCAAATTTCCTGCCTTTACTAGGAAGACTGTCCTACATGCCAGGATTGCTCTCTTTCACTCTTGCTGTTGACTTTTTTTAAAGTAGGAAGAAGTCCATATTTATTCAAAAGGATGGCACTCCAACAGTAACAGTGTTATGATGCTTTCTCTTGCTATCCATATGGAAGTTTGATCTCTCTTACAGGAAGCTAAACTCAAGTTTAGCTTGAAGTAAATCTTACTCAGGCCCATTAATATGGACCATTCTTACTTGAATAAGTTAGCTTCTGTGACATTCATCTCCCATTTGCACATCTGTAGGCTCTTCCATCTGTCAAATAATTCCGTTTGTTTCACCCTAAAAGATAAAAAGAAAGAAAGTAAAAATTCACATTATCACAAGGGCTTGATTTCCTAAAATACCTGCGGGCTTTTGATAGGGCAAACCTGTCAGCCTACCAGTTGCAAATTTATCATTTTTATTTCTTTTTCTGCTCTGACATAGTAACTCTAAGCCACGTATACACAGGTATTGATGGAGCTCTTCAGATATTTGGGACTGATTTCTATTCTCTGACAGGCATTATCTCTTCAGGATAAAAAATGCAATATTGAGCAAGAAGCATCTACTGCACCAAAGTCTGTCCACAGTCTGCTGGGAAGTTAATCAGTGGCTGGCAATTACAGCAGCTTTGGGGGGAAAAGTTGCTCCCAGCAGAAGGGCCCAGCACAGGGGTATTGGAAAAGAGGACACTTCTGATAATTTCACCATTATATTTGGGTGAGGTTATCTTAATCTGTGAGATTTTACAGAACAGCATTGTTGGTAAATCTATTTTATGAACTGCAATAGCACACAGGCAGGGATAAATAACTGTGATGCTAAAAGGACACGAATAGCTCTTTACACAAGTATCTCTCCCTCCCTCTCTGTTAATAAATATACTTTTAGTTATAGCAAAAAAAAAAAAAAAAGACACTCCTATTTCTACTAGATTGATACAGAATGACACATTTTTGGTGATATCATCAATTCCAAACACTTCTAGAGTTCATACATACTCTTCTGTATTTGGACAAGAGAGATAATGAAGACCTTGAAAGTATCCAGAGCCAGGGAGCAATGTCCTAATCTGGCTGGGAAATTCACAAGTCTGAGATTTCTTCAAGACTGATAGGTCTTAATGAGTTCTCTTCAGGCTTGAGGGCTTTGAACGTTTGAATAAAGCAAAGACTTTTAAGATAATTATATATTTAAAGCGAGTAGAACTTAGGATTTCCCAGGCTGTGGAAGTTACAGGAAGGAATTAGGTCATATTGTACTTTCTGTAGCCCACCAGAGCACATTAACTTGGAAATCTTCCATTACCATAAGGGCTGACTTGGGAAACACAGCACATTAGAAGTGAGTGCATCAGAAGAACCCAGTGTGGAAAAAGAACTTAATGTCAAATGGCATCTATTGTAAAAGTAAGGTTAACTCGATCCAGCTGAGCAGGAGTCCACAACCTTCTACGTGCCATTAGATAAGATAAAGAGAAACGAGTAATTTTCTGTACCATCTGATAAGAATGCAGAAAAGCAATTCAAAACTCCCCGTCTTCAGCAGAACACTGGCAGAAGTGTCACATTCTCACCCCTTCTATTTATTTTTAAGCACTGCAAGTCAGCAAGCAGCGCAAAGGTGTTACTCGTGTATCCTTCACCCAGCACCAAATGCAGAAGACAAGGACATGACCCACATTTTTCTGTGAAGAAAGTCAGTGGGGGAGACAGGCTCAAAATTCACGACGACCCAGAGCAATAAATTGTATTTGCTGTAGCCTTGATTGCTTAATGTTTTGCATGTGCATAGCTGCATTGCCATTTGAGATTCTCAGTACACATTAGAGACCTTAATAAGCCTTGTGGATTGTTGATAAGATTAATAAACCACTGATTTTAGATGCGGTATTATTGCACCTAAATTCAGTGCAATACTGAAAATGCAAAAGGGCAACAAAAAAATCATAGAATCATAGAATGGTACAGGTTGGAAAACACCTTAAAAACCATCTAGTTCCAACCCCCTGCCATGGGAAGGGACACCTTCCACCAGCCAAGCCCCCTCCAACCTGGCCTTGAACCCCTCCAGGGATGGGGCAGCCACAGCTTCTCTGGGCAACCTGGGCCAGGCTCTCACCACCCTCACACCAGAGAAGTTCTTCCCCTCATCTCAGCTCCATCTCCCCTCTTTCAGTGTCAAACCCTTCCCCCTCCTCCTATGGCTCCCCTCCCTGATCCAGAGTCCCTCCCCAGCTTTCCTGGAGCTCCCTGAGGGACTGGAGGGGGCTCTAAAGTCTCCCCGGAGCCTTCTCTTCTCCAGGCTGAACCCCCTCAACTCTCTCAGCCTGTCCTCACAGCAGAGGGGCTCCAGCCCTCCCAGCATCTCCGTGGCCTCCTCTGGCCCTGCTCCGACGGGTCCCTGTCCTTCTGCTGTTGGTGGCCCCAGAGCTGGAGGCAGCCCTGCAGGGGGGTCTCCCCAGAGCGGAGCAGAGGGGCTGCTGGGGATGCAGCCCAGGATGCAGGGGACTTTCTGGGCTGCAGCACACCTTCTCATCCACCACCAAATACCCTGGTTTTCTGTGTCCAATGAGGTCCATTGGCAACCTCACTCTTTTGTCTGATTCCATCTCATTCAATTCATTCGTTTCCCGATGTGTATGTCAGACCACAAAAGACAAAATATAGATATGTTATTATTCCTCAGAATTGCATTTTCCTACTTTTTAGTGAGTGCTATTAACTTGTGAAACTCACTGCTGCAGAAAATTGTGGAGGTCAAAAGTAGAAATGGTCTCCAAAAAGATCTAAAAAACATTGTTTCGATCAGATAAGATACAAACAAATCACTCAGCAAGTCCCCATGTCTGTATTTGTTACTAGGAAGGGCTTCCTTCATTTCTTAGCTTCGCTATTGGCCACTGTCAATAACAGAGCCTTAAGCCAGATGGACACTTGCTGTGAGTCATTCTGGCTGTTATTACTCTTCTGTTACCCTGAGGAGACGACATAGAATATAATATGACAAAGAATATTACAAGCACGGTATTTAATTCCAAAATGCCTCAATCTATGTGAACAGCTTCCAGGATTTTTTTCAAATCGACCTCAGATCAAATTCAAATGTCACTATTTCAACATATCAAAGCATTGAAACCGGCTGCCCAGGGAGGTGGTGGAGTCACCATCCCTGGAGGTATTTAAAAGATGGGTAGATGTGGTGCTGAGGGACGTGTGTTAGTGGTAGCCTGGCAGTGCTGGGTTAACGGTTGGACTTGATGATCTCAAAGGTCTCTTCCAACCAAAACAATTCCATGATTCTTTGTTCTATGATTCTATATAACAGAACTTCAGTAATCCCTTCTGAGATCCCTATTGATAGGATCTCTTGATCCTTGCATCTCTGACAATCTTACTGTAGGTTACCACTTTCATCCTGCCTGAAAAGTAACCTGTTAGCAAACAATCATTCATACTTACATAGATAAAACCTTCACCTCAATGATGTCCTGCCGCAATTCCAGGCATTTGGTAGAGTTGTATTCCAAAGGCCCTTCATAAAACTCAAAATACCTGAAGGAGGACAAGAAGAAAGATTATAAGTAAGCCTTATACTGGAATGTTTATCTACACATCAATGAAAATTTGCTCAAAGTTGTCATTTATGATTTCTGCTTAACTTGAGATTACACTGTCTGGCCCATAGGCAGGTTATTACTTCACAGGAAAATACAGATTTTGTTTCTGATAGTAGAACAGACACCCATGTCCAGTTTGCCCAACTCTACTGCCTGTCTTGTAGGCACCAACAAGGATCAGCTACCTTTCCAGCCACCACCACACAGCAGCCGCCACTGAAAGTCAGGGGAAAAGCACCGATCACTTAAAAGAACACTGTTCCCAGCCTTTGGGCATCTGAATATGCTGAGAGTTTAAAAACCATCACCCTAAATTTTGCTCTTAGGTGGAAAGCAAAGTCCCGGAGGTTTCATCTTGTCTGTCGAGTCTGCTACGTAGCTGTATGCAATGGAGTTTTTCATTGGGATTCACTCTTTTTTACTTTCAGAGAGGAAGGGAAGCCAGGATTTTGTCCTCAAAAAATTTGAGATGATTTTGAGAATGAAAGGATTTGAAGGCTCAGACACATCACAAGTGACAGGGTCATTCCTAATAAATATTTGCTTATTTTGCTAAATTCCTCCATCTTAGCCATCAGACTGGAGTGAAGGGAAAACAAAAAAAAATGGTAGATCTTGTGTTTTGGGGCCGGAGAAAGCCCAGGTTGGCCAGTGAATTTAATGAGACTGTCTGAAATTACAAAAAAATATTTAGGGTTTTAACCAAGCTCTGTATCAGTTTCACCACCTATCATTAGAAGTCTGTATTAAAACCTAATACCTAAGAACTGTGCATACCTAATGCTGTATTAAAACCTAATACCCAAGAACAGCAGTTATGAGCCGGATGAAGAAATAACAACAGACAGCCTGGAGGAATAGGTATTATGACCAAGCCTAGGCTGCAACTCCAAACTATGTTTTGAGCTTCAATATGAAAGAAAAATACAAGATTCCTGGAAGAGCTTTATTTAAAACATCTTTGGAAATGTAATAGTTTGCATTTGTGTCATTTTAAAACAACATCAAAATTCATGTTTGACCTAAATGTCTGTTCAGTTCTGAATATATAATCCTGAAGTAGGAAAGTGTTATTAATTTCCTTAGCAGTTCATGTTTAGAACTAATATAAAAATTTTGGGAGATCCAAAGCCTGATCTGTTATGGAGAAGTCCTAAACATTCACACTTCCGAGGGGAATTGCAGGAAGGGAGATTGTCCTTAAAACAGCCTCTCTAGGTGTCTCCAACAGGGCCTCCAAAGGCCAGAAACATCTAAAAGCAAACAGCTTTGGAGTTTTCTGATCAATCTGATAAAGGAGGGAAGAGATAAACCTATAGAAGAGATAAAAGTATATAGTATGTGACTGGAAAAAGCTCAATAGCTTCCCAAAGCAACCTGCTATCGACTGGGAACATTTCTATCCTGTCAAATGCTGCGTTAGGAAGTGTTTCCTCCACCTCTCCTTGGGGTTTTCACCACCTCAGCTTTGCCAGATCCCTGATCAACCATTTTGGTAATCCAGTGAGAGGAACAAACCCTGAGACTGAAAGGAAGAAGGCTGTGCCTAGATGGTGGAAGGAGAACATCATAAATTCCTAATAAAGAAGTAAACTGATTACAGTAGGAAAAAAGCAATAACTCAGCAATCTTTAAAAAATGTGACTAGTTGGAAATGTGTCTGCACAGTCTTTAAGGCAATAAATATATTTGTATGAGTTTTGTGGAGGAAAATATGTATTTAAAGCCCTCCATAATGGGATCCTCAGCCTGCAGAAGGGAGATAACATTCATACAATATGAACCTTCATCTGGTCTGTCACCAAAAGGCTTGGGCTTTCCTTCCAACTCAAACATTCACCTGGACATTGAGCCTTTCCTAAAGAGTAGCTGAAACCCATTGTGCTGGGACATCTCCTGCGTGCTCGGCTTGTGGCTTCAATATGAAAGAAAAATACAAGATTCCTGGAAGAGCTTTATTTAAAACATCTTTGGAAATGTAATAGTTTGCATTTGTGTCATTTTAAAACAACATCAAAATTCATGTTTGACCTAAATGTCTGTTCAGTTCTGAATATATAATCCTGAAGTAGGAAAGTGTTATTAATTTCCTTAGCAGTTCATGTTTAGAACTAATATAAAAATTTTGGGAGATCCAAAGCCTGATCTGTTATGGAGAAGTCCTAAACATTCACACTTCCGAGGGGAATTGCAGGAAGGGAGATTGTCCTTAAAACAGCCTCTCTAGGTGTCTCCAACAGGGCCTCCAAAGGCCAGAAACATCTAAAAGCAAACAGCTTTGGAGTTTTCTGATCAATCTGATAAAGGAGGGAAGAGATAAACCTATAGAAGAGATAAAAGTATATAGTATGTGACTGGAAAAAGCTCAATAGCTTCCCAAAGCAACCTGCTATCGACTGGGAACATTTCTATCCTGTCAAATGCTGCGTTAGGAAGTGTTTCCTCCACCTCTCCTTGGGGTTTTCACCACCTCAGCTTTGCCAGATCCCTGATCAACCATTTTGGTAATCCAGTGAGAGGAACAAACCCTGAGACTGAAAGGAAGAAGGCTGTGCCTAGATGGTGGAAGGAGAACATCATAAATTCCTAATAAAGAAGTAAACTGATTACAGTAGGAAAAAAGCAATAACTCAGCAATCTTTAAAAAATGTGACTAGTTGGAAATGTGTCTGCACAGTCTTTAAGGCAATAAATATATTTGTATGAGTTTTGTGGAGGAAAATATGTATTTAAAGCCCTCCATAATGGGATCCTCAGCCTGCAGAAGGGAGATAACATTCATACAATATGAACCTTCATCTGGTCTGTCACCAAAAGGCTTGGGCTTTCCTTCCAACTCAAACATTCACCTGGACATTGAGCCTTTCCTAAAGAGTAGCTGAAACCCATTGTGCTGGGACATCTCCTGCGTGCTCGGCTTGTGGAGCTGGAGGTGAGCAACTTGTGCATTTTGAAAGCTGCTCCAAGTGAAATTGGATTAAGAGCTCACCTGGTTGCACCAGAACTGAACTGAACTGAAATCTCTCTGTGGAGCCAACACCACAGGACTTCTTGTTGCCCACAGAATTTTACAGCAGTGAAGGAGCCCCCTCTGACCACCAGTCCAGACATCTTTTTCATCCCTCTGCAATACTCCTTTTTCTTACTGTATTTTGTAGTATCCATTCTTTACTTTGGTTCTTTGAGTCAGACAAGACCGGGACTGTGAATCTGCATGTTCTACACAATCGTTCAGGTATACATCTCCATGCAAGACTTAGGAAGTTACCTACTACTCCTACCTCTTTGGGAGTAAGGGGGATAGCTATCACCCTTCCTCACCTTTCACCTAACAGTGTACCCTATTTCTGTACCTTATATGCGCCTCAGGACAGCTAAGAATGGCAAAAATCCAGATTAACCCCTATTTTTCTCTTTCCTGTGCACTCCTGGCCCCGCTGCTAAATTAGAGAACTGCAGCTGAGGTGTCGAACATCACATGCTATCACGTGGGGATGTCACAGGAGGGGAAAGCTGGTTTCAGCCTGTGGCACTGGAGACAAAGATGTCACTTCATGAAACAGAGATGAAATTTCCCAGAGTCCCAGCCATTCCCTTTGATCAGTGCCCATTTACACAAACCGCACACCAAAAATAGAAATGAAAAAGGATGTGTTACCAAAAAGGCAGAAGGGTAAGGAGGAAAGGATTGGGTAAAAAAATAAACCAGTTCTGGATCTGAAAGGGAATCCATCAGGCAGCATTGCCTTTGTAGGAGAGTTATTCCATTAGCCTACAGCTTCGAAGAGCACAGGACTGTCCTGCAAGGCTCTAACACCCACACTAGCTCCAGCTTTTCCAGCAGAGTCATTGGGAGTGTCGAATTTGGCACCTTGTGGAAGTGCAGAGGGAGGACCCATGAAACAGGCTGGGTGACACGCTGCCCGACATACGTGCCTCCCACGGAAAAAGTCAGGGGACACCAATAGTGGTGTCACTTCTGCACTGAGTTGGGAGAAGATGCTACTGGCCATGGGGTGAGCTCGATGGAAACTACCTTGTCCTGCCTGAGCTGCTGAATAATCACCCTCTGGGCTGTCGTTCACAAGCCCTGAACCACACCTGAAGCAGCCAGCCAGACACTGAGCCTCCTCGGTGTCAACGCTACTGATGCTGCAGCACTTGGGCTGCAAGCACTGATGATGCTACAACAGCAATAAGGACTTTGCAAGACACTATCTGGTCAATAGACTAAAAGAGAAGACAAAGGACTGAAAAAAAAACCAAAAACACAAAAAAAACACCAAGCAAAGTTTCCTCTCTGTCTCCCAGGAGTGTTCATGCTAATTATTTTCTTCACAGCAAGCAAATAATTAGCACCCCCCTGCGACAGACGCCAAGGCGAATGAGCAGAGGCAGCTCCCGGGAGCACGGTCCAACCTCTTCCCACAGAAGTGCTCCCCGTTGTCCTTTCCCAGGATACAGCTCTTGCAGGACACCGGGCTCTAGCACAAGGAAGACGGGTTCCTTCAACCCCCGCGGATGTTCTCGAGATCCAGCTCTTCTGCTCGGTGGGGTCTGGTCCTGCTGGCAGCATTTGGAGACCAGCCCTCCCACCCTCCGCCGCGCTCTGCCAGAGGAAGCATCGGTCTCACCCACTCCCTGGGCTCCCAGTGCTGCTTCTGCCTATTAACTCCCACTCTAAACCACCCGGTTCCCTGCAAATGAAGACAGATTTGCCTGTCAGAACGCTTAATTAGCACAAATGGAAGCTGTCCTCCCCATCGTCTTCCTCAGTCTGATACCCAGCTAAGAAGCACGGGGTGTAGCCGAGTTTATTTTGATTTATGCTCTTGATTGGTGACGAGTGACAAACCCTGACTACTCCTTTTGCTACGGAAAAGGGCTGTGTTTCAGCTGTACAACAACGACAGTCATGTTTTATATTCATACAAC